CCCCCCCCATATTGACTAAATTTATTAGCATGAGAATTTGGAAATATCTGTCAGTTTTAAATGGTCATGTTCTGATACAGCATTTCTATTACATAAAATCTTAGAAGTATTTGTACAAGGGCACAAGATTTGTTTTTAAAGATTTGATTGCAGTATTATATGAATTAGTGAAAAACTGGAAACCAGACTTTCTGAAGATCTTTTTTATTTTTAATCCTCACCTGAGGATATGCTTTTTAAAATTGATTTGAGGGAGGGAGAGAGGAAGACAGCAATGTGAGAGATGCATTGATGGGTTGCCTCGTATGTGCCCTGACCAGGGATCGAACCCAAAACCTTCCAATGCACAGGACGATGCTCCAGCCGAGCCACACTGGCCAGGGCATGTTTGTTTTTATTTTTTAGAGACGGGGAGAGACATGGTTGCCTCCCATAAACGCCCTGACTGGGGAATGAAGCAGCAACCTAGGTATGTGCCCTAACTGGGGATTGAACCCATCTCCAACCAACTGAACCACCCAGCCAGGCTGAAGTGAAGGTCGTTAAAGTAGCATCCTCAGATATAACAAAATAACTGTCAAGTCAAGATGGAGGAATCATGATTTTTCCCCCCTTTTAGTGATGTGGTTATTTTATTGTCATAACTTCATTTACTTGTCAAGAATCTTCCTTGGATATAGTGATGGGGGATCTTTATTTTACACAATCTTGTCCATCTATTCCATTACATTTAAATTTTATAACATTTATATAGCTTTTAAATCTATAAGTTGGTGACTTCCTAAAGTTTAAGAAAATTGTGTACAGAAGCAACATGCAAATGCTTTCCGGATGCGTAAGATCTTTTCGACCCATTAGGTGAACTGTCAAGTTACTGTGATTGTCCTGAAACCATCTTGATATTCCTGCTGTATGTGATTGGCCCCATCCCTATGCCAACGATAACAGCCTGATGTGTATCCAACAAGCGTGAATGTCCTGTGTTTCTTCCCCAGCAGCAGTCAGAAATGGAGACTGTTCATCTGTTTATCCCAGCCTTATCTGTCGGTGCCATTATCGGCAAGCAGGGGCAGCACATCAAACAGCTTTCTCGCTTTGCAGGAGCTTCTATTAAGGTACTGTTCTGCCAGCTGGGGCTGTCCCGGTGCTTTCAATAGTTACAGAAACATGAGTCTTCTTGCCACCTCATAGTTTGAATTGAAGGTGCAGTCTATCCTGAGGTTACGTAGTTTATTTCATATTAATTTTAGTTTATTTCATATGCTACTCCTATAACCATACTTTGGGGGGATTTACCAGTTGTCTTAATTTGTGAACTTAACAGTTTCTTGCACACCCAGGAAGCTTGAGGGGTTCTGATGCATGAGGGCCAAGGACCACACTTTGAGTACCATTGGTATAGTGTTAGGAACACGGACAGTGAAGACACAGACCCAGCTTGCCCTCTGGGTCTGTCAGCTGTGGTCATAGACCAGGTAACTTCTCCAGCCTTCAGTTTGCCCACATGTGAAGGAGAGGCAGCACCTCATCAGGATGTAGTGAGGACTTGCTGAGGGGGACTATAAATGGACTTTTAACTCCTTCCAGAAGGCTTTCATTCTACATTTCAGTAAGTCACCTGCAAATGTCAGGCTGGTTTGTGTGACCTTTCTATCATAACCCCTTGATGGGTTTGTTCCAGATTGCCCCAGCTGAAGCACCAGATGCGAAGGTGAGGATGGTGATTATCACCGGGCCACCGGAGGCCCAGTTTAAGGTATGTGCTCTAGTCTCCCACAGGTGAAAAACAGATGGATGCGGAGAACACGAATGCCTTCTTTTCGGGAATGCTAACTGGCTTCTCCCTTAGATGTATCTAATACTCAGTAGAAACAATTTCTCGATGGAAAGTCCTAAGACGAAGAATAGAGGAGAGGAACCTTTGAGATCTTGCTTCCCAGCCACTGCGGTCAGTTTGGCTCAAATAAAATCTTATAAAAATTTGTAGAATTGTACACTTGAAAACCTATATAATTTTATTGACCAATGTAACACCAATAGATTCAATTAAAAAACAAAAAAGGAACAGAGTAGAAACATACTCCAGATTACATTTCAAAAGTAAACCAAAGTCGGTGTTGTGATTTGGAGAGTTCTGTCGTGGTTGCTGGATTTGGATTTACTTGACTCCCGAAAGAGAGTTTGCTCAGTGCCTCATTGTCATATGTGAAAGTGAGACCTTAAGACTGAAGTTTACAAACTTGCCTGGCTCATATACCTTGGAAAACTTGTTCTCAAATTGTTCTTGTTCCTGTGAAGCCTTGACCTTGGGTTAAAATGCCCCCTTTTCCTCTTACCCTTAGATTAACTTAGCCCTTGTCTGTTGTCTCTCCACAGTCACTCTAACCCTTCAAAGTTTAGGGGTGGTTGTGGCATTTGTCCTGGCGTGAACCACTGCTCATGTTTGTAGGGTTTGGGGGCTGGAATGCCTCACTGTGTAACTGAAAGGTGGTGGAGCTGGGCGATAAAGAGCAGAGACTCAGCAGCCAGGCTGCTAGTTCAACTCCCAGCCCTACTGTTTACCAGCTTGGGACCTTGTGCAAGTTACTTAACCTTCCTCTGGTTAGTTCCGCATCTGTAAAATGGGGATTTGAGGTTTAAACAATATATGTGCTTGGAATAGTGCCTGACACATAGGAAGCACAACATGTGGTGATATTTAGCAGACTCTGGGTGAATCAGACTAAGGCCCCGCCAAATCCTCGAACTCACAAGTACATACCTTTGAGTGTATGATTTTTCCTATAAGACTTATAGTGTCTTTGTCACAGGTATAAGCAACCTCTGAATTCTAAGGAAACTAATGGATCCAAAACCCCTGTCTTGTTCCCACTGCTTGGTAGCTGTGTAATAGGACAGCTCTTAACCTCAAGCCTGAGTTCCCTTAGGAACACTGCCTATACCTCCCCCTACCCCCACACTCTTTTAAACCATCACTGTCTGTGATCTCTGTTTTCAGTGGGCCATTTTTTCACTAAAACTCCATCCCCCTACTTCATTTACAGGAAGAACAGGAAACACAGGGAGCTGCTTTGAGATGTGGGTGCAGGTTGGCTAGGCTCAAACTCAGGTGAAGAAACTGACTCCCTCACACCAGCCTCGTGGTCCATCCAGGCAGTTCAAATTATAAGTCAGAAATGCTGAAAATTGCTTTCTATCCTGAACCTACGGGGTCAGTCACTTTTAGTTTGAAATCTTAAAGATAAATACAAACATCAATTATTATATGTTCCTTGATGCTAGGCTCTTACTATTTGGTAAGTGGAATTACCATCTTGCAATTTCTATAATGCTTGAATGCTGGGAGAGTCAGTTTGTTTCCCTGTCTCCTCCAGTGCCCACGCTGAACAGGTGCCCTAAGTGGAACATTTAAGAAAAGCTAGAATGCTTAAATCTCATTTATGTGATCAGTGATAATCACAAATGAATTATTTTAGAGATCTAATAAGAGACCACCTAACCATGTTTTTTCTTATGAACTCCAGAGCTTGTTTTGGAGGAGGATGTATATCCCCAGTGTCCTTTGTTAACAGCTACATCCGTGGTCTGAGGCTCTGAGAATGAGTGGAATATACACCAAGATGGGTTTTTCTTTTCTGTAATCCCCTAAAATGAGTTAATCATTTCTGCACCAATGAAAACGTGTTAGATGCTTTTGTTTTTGTGGTTTGCCCTGGCAGCTTGTCAAATTAAACCAACTCTGACTTTTTTCCTTTGGTGCAAAGCAGAACAAATCAATGGCTACATCACAGGCAGGGTTTTTGGTACATGACTTCTGGTTGTACGCAGAAGGTGGCAGGATGTGCTGGCTATAAAAATGAGAAGCACGTGTTAACTTGCTTTCGTAGCCTTACTATTCAAAGTAGAAACCACCTGGCTACGAGGAAGAAACAGAAACCATTCCTCTCCTGGCACAGCTGGCTCTCTAGTTCTTCCTTAGTCTCTTTTGCTCAGAAAAATACAATTACTTCTTATTGCCTATAGGAGAGGTTTCTCCTTTCTGATGGAGAGCAAAATGGCCATTTGCCCACAAAAGTGATTTTTTAGTGAGGATGACTACTAATTAACTGCCTTTAACTGTTGTCAGAAAAATACGGTTCATTCTTTCATCAATCATTCAATTGCCTTGTCTATGATGCGCAGTTACCGGCAACCTTTCCTAGGGCTTCCTACCTTCTCCATTTCGTATGCGATCTTCAGTCTATCAAATGCAGGCGTATCACTGCAAAGGGCTATTCCAGTGGACTTGGGCCATCTTTACTGTTAATGGACCTTTTGTCTCCTACCCGAACGACACTGATAGCCTATGTTCTCATCTGTAGGCTCAGGGAAGAATTTATGGAAAAATTAAAGAAGAAAACTTTGTTAGTCCTAAAGAGGAGGTGAAACTTGAAGCTCATATCAGAGTGCCATCCTTTGCTGCTGGCAGAGTTATTGGAAAAGGAGGCAAAACGGCAAGTACTTCAGCAAAACCTGTGCAGTGGTATGAAAGGGAGAGCATTGAAAGGTACTTAGGAGTTCCAAGCCCCTGAATTTTGGCTAATTTGTAAAAAGCAGGACCATCTGGGCCAAGGTTTGGAGAAGACTGCCTTTTGTTCCTCCTGAGTGTTGGTGTCAGCTACTGGAGAAAGTAATGCCTCTCTTTCAGACCACTTTGTGTGAGAAAACTCTCGTTTATAAGGGGCATTTAGCATTTTTTCTGTTGACATAACCCAGCTTTTAATTTTTATTGTATGAAGAATGACATGAGAAAAAATTTTTAAATTTCATCTACCTTTATAACTTGTACCTCTATAACTGAAAAAAGCAAATGACCTCCAGTTTTTCTTTTACACACGCAACTGCTAAATCATCTTCAAAGCTATACAATTTTGAAGTGAATGAGAGTGTACACTTCGGAAGTAGACTTTCTGGGTTTGAATCTGTTCCCTGCCATCCACTTGTGTGTAACTTTGGGCAAGTCAGTTTCTTTGTCTAAGCTTTAGTTTCCATTGTCTTGCAATGGGGACATACTAATAACTGGACAGAACCATTAGTGGATTAGATGAAATCTGTAAAGGCAGAGCTAGTGTTTGGTACATAGTAAGTGCGTGGGAAATGGTAAGTAAAAAACAACATGACTTGTATTTCTTTTTCAGGTGAATGAGCTCCAGAATTTGTCTAGTGCAGAAGTTGTTGTCCCTCGTGACCAGACGCCCGATGAGAATGATCAGGTGGTGGTCAAAATAACTGGTCACTTCTACGCTTGCCAGGCAAGTGGGCACAGACACGATGAGCAGGCTCTTCTGCTTTTCCCCAAATGGAAGCAATTTTCCTGTGGGTGCCCCCACCTCATATAAATACTTAAGGTTGTTTAGTACCAAACACTTAAAATTTTTTTTTAAATACATTTTTTTAAAATTTATTTTTTTCAAATTTTTTCAAGTGAGTTGGTTTACTTCCATGCGGTATAGAATTTGGGATAGAACAAAGACTGAAGAACACAGTTTGATAGGGCTCTGGGCTGGGTCTATTCTGACCTCACAGCTAAGGTTAAAAAATGGCTGAGTGAGAAGAGCTAAAGAGATGAGCCACTGCATGATGATTTTTACAAAAGTTTATCCTTAAACGTGTAACAGGCTCCAAGACAATACTTCATTCTAGCTAGAGGTGGCAAGAGATGTTATGACAGGGAATCCAGATGTTAAAACAGGAATGGAATTAAGGATCCCTATTGCCCAGGCACAAGGACCAGCTCACTTTTTGCCAGATTTCCTAGTTCCACCAGGGCCCCTTCCCTGTGGCCTTTTGCTCTTAGTTTCTGTTGTCTTCTGTGTGAATGCCTCACCTTCCTTGTCCATCTCCTTGGCCTGCTTCTTGCCACCCTTTCCCCAGACCCTGCCACTGGCAGCTGAGCTCTCTGTCCCACCCCTGAGCCTATGCCTCCAGGCGGGCCCACTGATTCTAGTGCCAAACGGTTTAATCCCCCTTTTAGCAGGTGATCTTGGCTATCCACTAGCAAACTAATTAGTATGTATAATTAATCTTTGAATAAACTTTTATTTGAAGTTTTTGAAATGGAAAAATAAAACAACTTTTAGTAACCTTTGACCAGGTAGAAATTTCAAAGCTCTCTCCTTTTGCAGGTTGCCCAGAGGAAAATTCAGGAAATTCTGACTCAGGTAAAGCAGCACCAACAGCAGAAAGCTCTGCAAAGTGGACCACTTCAGTCAAGACGGAAGTAAAGGCTCAGGAAACAGCCCACCACAGAGGCAGATGCCTAACCAAAGACAGATTGCTTAACCAACAGACGGGCGGCTGAACCCTATCCAGAATCACATGCACAAGTTTTTACCTAGCCAGTTGTTTCTGAGGACCAGGCAACTTTCGAACTCCTGTCTCTGTGAGAATGTATACTTTATGCTCTCTGAAATGTATGACACCCAGCTTTAAAAAAAAAAAAAAAAAAAAAAAAAGGGGGAGGAAAAGAGGACTCTGCACTTCCCTTCTGTTGTATTCTCGGTATAACAAATATTCTAATTTTTCTTAATATTCCCCTATAATGCAAGAAATTGGCTTAATGATGCACTCACTAAATTCATCAAATAAATAGATTGCTCCTAAGTCAAAACAGAATTATTACAGGAACTTAAATGTTAAGGCATCAACATGGAAAAACTGTCTGTTTTATTTTTATCTAACACTAACATGAATAACCTAAGGGAAGTGCTGAATGGTGTTGGCAGGGGTATTAAACGTGCATTTTTACTCAACTACCTCAGGTATTCAGTAATGCAATGAAAGCAAATTTTGTGGTTGTTTTGAAAATTTTATATACTTTATAAAGATAAAAATCCAACTGTTTTTTAAAAAATAAACTTAAAATTTAATTAGCTAACAGGCAAATAACTGAAAAAATTTTACTTCTGGCTGTTGACAGTAAAGCTGGAAAATTAATTTCAGGTTTTTTGAGGCTTTTGACAGTTATTAGTTGGAAAATCCAGTAAATGTCCAATGACATGGAGCAGTGCCTATATTTGGAGAGCAGCAATACCATTTATTTTTTTGTTTATGTTAGGGAGAGTTTTTGATGGTACTAACAGAGCAAAGTGGTCACAGGAAGTTTGGAATGGCTAGTTTAATGGCTTCAGGAGACTTATGTTTTTTTTTAAGTGATTGAGTGCATAATTTCTTTGTGCTTTTGACTATCACTACCTAAAGAAAGTGCGTCAGTGAAGAGATGCAGCCCCTGTGGACTTGAAACTGATTGGCAAAAAGCAAGCCTCAACTTGTCTTACAGGATGCTTAGCTTGCCAATCCACCTCAGAGCAGTTGGTTTACCCTTTGAGCAGACCCCAAAAGAATTGCTTTGCAAAGAACAATGGGGCAGTCAGATGGTGTGACAGTGTTTAAAGGCAATAAAAGGCTATATCTTATATGTGCCAGGCACTGCTATGAGCCTCACTAAGCTGTTTTGAAGATTTTTAAACAAGGATAAATCAAGAAAAATGAAAGGCCACCTAAAATATTACATAGAATGCAACAGGATTCCTGTATTCTGTGCAACCAGTTACTGTAAGAAAAGAATTTTTGAAATGTAATTTGAATGACTGTGAGAAAACTTTTGACCTTTAATACTGAACTCATTTGCCCATTCCATAACTTGATGGCAAAGCCCAGTATGTACAATTATGGGTGTGGGTGGTCTCCGAGGCCACGCTGCTCTCAGAATTGTTTGTGTTGCTTTTGTTCATAAAGTGGTCACAGTCATCATATTACATGGATCTGAAGGACATATATAATAACCCCTTACAAAGTCATTTTGCCTCATTTGTATTTCAGGATGAATTTCTACAGACTAGGTAAGTTTTTCTGATGATCAGCATATCAGACATTTTGAAAATGACTTGAAATGTTTTCCTAAATGTTTTCAGAAAACCAGTTTATTTTGTAGTTTTAGCCAAAAAGTGCCCTTTTTGTCACTGAATTCATCTAGCATTCATAATTCCACCCCACCCCCCAAACAGCGAATTGCTTTAAAAAAAAAAAAAAAAATCATGGACTGGCTTTGTGGTTGGTTTTTAGGTGAGACGTGCTTATGGCCAGAGCTCTTCCTCAGTATTTGATTTTTCTAATATTTGTTGGTTTGTTTTTTTTAAATACAGATAGGTGCTGCATTTATATCTGCTGGTTTAAATTCTCTCATATTTCACTTCTAGCCTTTTAGTGCAGCAAATCATGTTTTACTTTCAATTAAGCATTGGTAATGGAGTATCTGGTAATAGCTAGGAAATAATTCTGTAACTGAGTTTGTACTCACCGCATATGGATCATTCCTCATTTGTAATGTGCCCCAAATGCAGCTTCATTTTCCAGATACCTTGATGCAGAATAAAGTTTTTCATCATTAGGTGCAGCTTGATGTATAGTTTTATTTTTGATTTTTCAAATAAATGTGGATATAATTTATAAATTTAAACAGATTTTTAGTAATAGTATGTCAATCTTAAGTTAAGCACCAATACCTACTGGTAAATTATTTTCTCCATTCCATGGTACTTAATTTGAACCTTGATAATATTGTTTGCATATGAACTAAGAACTATATAGGCTTTAAGTAATAGGACCGACCAGTGGGGTAGTTATGGGTCTTTTGCTTTATTTTTTTAAATGTTAGCTATTCCATTCTACATAATACTTACACTTAAGCAAAATTAACTAAAATCTGAGCAGAGACCTCAAGTGAAGTGCAGGGACCAGTGATAACTCCAGGATTTCCTGCTGGGATCTCAGGAACAAAGACAACATATTAAAACTGTAGTTGACGCTCCTTTACCTGCAATTTCCACATCCTGATGTCAGTCAGCATGAGTACCCATAGTCAAATAAGACTTCGACAATAACTTACCAATAAGGTGGGGGTTAGGAGCTATTTTTTAAGAAGGGACTCAATCTCAATGTGAAATGACTAAAACAGTATTTTATTCACATTTGAACTCCACTGGAGTCAGGGATGAAGTGTCATCTTCTATTCCAAGAATGAAATCTTCAGGTAATGTTTCAGGTGCTATCTGAGCTAACTGGTCGTCATAAGAACGTAGGGTCCATAACTTCTCTAGTTCGTAAGTTTCTCTGGTCTCTGGAAGCATCAAATGGATCACCATGCTGCCTGTCAAGGACAGGTAAGAGTTACAAAGAAGCAGCAGTTTGCTGTTATTCTTATCTCACAACCCTCTGATAGTTTATTACTCACAGTATAACTATGAGAACCGCTGTCTGAGTTCCTAAAGTGTGGACCACAGATGAGCACCATCTGGAAACTTGTTAGAAATACAAACTGTGTATCCCAACCAGCAAAATACCATGGAAGTGCTGCTGTGTTTTTTTCTCAGTGCATCACACAGGAGGTACATGATTTCAATATGTGACATTACTTGACTCAAGTGTTTAACTTCAGCCAAGTGACTAAAGGTGAGGCCCGTCAGTTCTCCAAATGTGTCACATTTCTGCACATGCTGTGAGCAAAGCACTGACTGCCTTTTGTTCTGGACTATCTTTTTAAAGGATGTTTGTATGGCAAACAGTCTCAAAGAGATACTGGCTGTCCGGAGCAAAGGGCAGCTTTGCTTACAGCAGTGGTTTTCAATCAAGGACATTTTTGGTTCTCACAAGAGGGGGAGGGATACTCTTACCCACTCGGTCTCAAATGCTAAGTGACAAAGCTGAGAAACCTTGACTTACAGCCTTGCCAGAAAAAGTACCTTCCACCACAGCAAAAGCAGACCTGCTTCCTGCCCATTACAGACAATGTGGATACCCTAATCTCAGGGTTCCTCTGAGTGTGTGCAGGTCCTATGTTGCTCTATAGAAGCTGGGGCTTAGGGAACCTGGTGCAAAAATGCTGCTGTTGGCTACTACTATTGTGAGTAATAAACTGTCCTTTACCTCCCACCCTGGAATAGTCTAGTCTTTTACCAATATCTATGAAACTGGGTGGCTAACTTGTTAGTTTACAAGTAAGATAAAATCTCAGAGCCCTCTTAGTTCTTGACAGTTCCTGTTTTTTCCCCTTTGTAATAAGTACCTGGTAGGGAAATACTTTGAAACTATGTATAGATTAATACCCAGATTTGTTAGGTCTTTTCAAAATTCCAGTCCTTTGCCTGGAATGCCCTTCACCTCGGCTGAATTATTTCAGGCCAAGGTTATGTGTACCCCCAAGCCACCACCAATAAGGGATCTCTCCCATCATCTTTCTGACCTCTTTGGCTCATTAGATACACACCAAGTTAGGTGAGCGTTTAATGTGTGAATATGACTACCTGGGTTACAATGAAACATTTCAAAAATTTTACATGGAAAAACTCAGAAATTTGATCTCAATTCTTTTGCAACTGAAAATAGTTCAAGATTAGCACAATGCCAAATATTTACCAATAACTTACCAAAGTCCACACAGAGCCAGTCATCAGTGTCCTTCCCTTCAATCTTCACATGAGGCTCACTTTTACTTTTTAGGAATTTGTACTGAAAAAGGAGAGATATATTAAAGGGAGAAGGGATAAGGAGACCTCTGCTTTAACTGAGGGTCTACTGGTATTTTTTCTTGGTCTTAACTTGGGACCTAGCTTACTCATAACTTAGTGAACTAGTTCCCCCCTAAATCCTTCTGCCCAAACTCTTTTGATAGGGCCACCATATTCAATCCACGGTGTATCTGGTCCTCACCTACATCATTCCTTCTGTCCATCCCAGCTTCCCTTCACTCTCAGGAGAGGCAGATGCTGCCTTCCTGCTTTAAGGTTAGGTCTTCTCAGCCCATCTCAACTACCTCTATGACAGTGTTAATGGGACTTTATTATCCCACGTCTCTATTCCCAACAGATACACTATTGTCACAGAAAATACACTTTAAGAACTATTACAAGAGACAAAGAAGGACATTAAAAGGGGCAACTAACCAAGATGACAGAACTAGAAACATGCATCAAAAATCAGAACTCCTAAACATATAAAACATTGACAGAATTGAATAAATAGATGGCAACAGTAATATAGGAGACTCACTACACCATTTTCAATAATGGACAGAACAACCAGACAGAAGACTTGAACAACACTACAGAGCAATTGGACATAACAGACATTAACAAAACATTGCACCCAACAACAGAGTACATATTTTCCTTAAGTGCACATAGAACATTTACCAGAATAGATCATGTTAGGCCACAAAACAAGTCTTAATAAAGTATTTTCTGATCACAATGAAAAGAAACTAGAAAATCCACAAATATGCGGAAATTAACACTTTAAGAAACCAAGAGGTTCAAGAACAAATCACAAGGGGAATTAGAAAATATCTTGAGACAAAACATAACATTCCAAAACGTATGGGATGCAGTGAAACAGTGTCAAGAGGGAAATTTATACCTATAAATACTTATAGGAGAAAAGTCCCCAAATAAAAAATTTACACAAGAACTAGGAAATGAACAAGTTAAAGCTAGCAGAGAGAAGGAAACTGATCACAGAAAATCATAAGGCAAAAATCAATGAAACCAAGATTTGGTTCTTCAGAAAGCAATAAAATTGGCAAATCTTTAGTGGGATTGACTTAAAAAAAAAAAATAGAAGACCCAAATAACTAAAATCAGGAACAATTCAGGGGACATTATTATCAATTTTAGAGAAGGAAAAAAGGGTTATACTACTACCATAAATGATTGTATACCAACAAACTGGATAACCTCAATGAAATGAATTCCTAGAAACAACCAAGATTGAATTAGGAAGAAATAGAAAACCTAAATAGACCTATTCAGTAATGGTAACAGGACTAAATCAGTAATCAAAAACGTCTCAACACAATATCAATTTTTTAAAAAAGGGAACC